AGGTAGCCTCGGGCCTCCAAACCCCGAGCGGGGCCCGGGCCGCTGCTCTCACCGCCCCGAGGTTCGGGGGAGGCTGGGAGGCCCCGGCCCCTCGCCCTGCCCTGCACATCTGGCTTCGCTCCCTGGCTCCGGCGGCTCCCGGCCCTCCTCTGCGGGAACAGGGCCGGGTTATTTTGAAATCCTCGCAGCCTGATTTCAGCATCTTTCCCTTGGGCCTCCCAAAGCGCAGCCCGGCCCCACGCTCCACTCCGCTCGCGTGGGCGGAAGGTGTGTGCGCAGCGAGAGGGGGTGCGTGTTCGCTCTCCTGACGTCCTTGAGCCCTCTCCTCTGCACAGGGGGCTGCCTAGCCAGCTGGGAGGTTTACCACATTCTGGGTAAGCCACCCTGTGCCTTGGATAGCCCGGGGTCCAGCCGTTTCATCCCCCCGGGACGCACCGCCCTTCCAGGCGGAGCAGAGGGATGGGGACAGTGCGGGAGGAGAGGTTCCCCCCTGGATGGAGACGGACCCGTCCCAGCAGGCTGCCAGCTCTGACTGGTTCTGCCCATTTCTCCCAGTGCTGACACCGTTCCCGTTCCCACAGTTTCAGAGTCTGCAGCTGGAGCGGGAGATGTGTTTGGCTTCAAACTGCACCCTGGCCAGGGTGAACCTGTCCCTGCGCCCACGGCTGGAGGACGGGAAGGCTTCCCTAGCCATCAAGTACCAGGAGCTGCGGGAGATACGAGAGGCATGTTGGGACAAGCAGCAGCGCCTGGGTGAGTGGGGCGCAGCCAACGGGACCAGGCAGAGCCCGGCACGGCCAGAGCAACCTGCAGTAATACGAGGGCTCGGGTGGGCTCAGCACCCTCGAACCTGCCCCGGGGAAACAGCCCAGCCATGATCAGGAGCAGTGGGGGGTGATGCTGCCTGCGACACAGCCAGCCCTCGGCCGGGACCGATGCCGCAGTGGGATGCAGGCCTCGGTCTGCAGGTGGCTCCAGGGATGTTTGGGGCTGTTTCAGTTCAAGGGGAGGGAGTTGATGCTTGGGGATGGGAAAGATCGCAGCCCCAGCAGTGGGGGCATCCGGGGGGAGGTTTGTTGGCAGCCCTGTCCCCTCCCGACACAGAGGCATACCTGGAGAATTGGAGCCCGCAGAGCGCCCTGGGCCAGCTGCAAGCCAAGCTCAACGCCTCTGAGGCAGAGTCGGAGGTGAGTCAAGCGAGATCCCCGTGCTGCTGCCCCTTCCTCGCCTGGCCCTGACTCCTCTCCATGCCCTCCCCTGTGCCAGGCCCTGGAGAAGAGGCCTGGGGGCGGTGGGGCTCAGCCAGCTGGGCTCCCTCCGTGGTCCCACAGCTCTCTTGGCTTGATGCTGTCCCACTGCCCATCCCACAGGCACAGATAGAGCAGTTCCTGGCCCGGGACCTGCCCCTCGATTCCTTTCTGGAGTCCTTCTGCCAGAGCCGCACACGCTCCCACATCTGCCGGACGCAGCTGGAGAAACTGCAGGAGCTGCTGCAGAAGGAGCGGGTGGGCAGGGACCCTGCAGGCCCCGCGGGGCGCCCAGGTGCCCTGGCTAGCCCCGCACGAGCCCGCCTTGCCCCCTTGCGGAGTGGAGCAGCCCCCAAAGCCTTCAGTCTCTCCTATGGCTTTGTGCCCGCCTGTCTCATCCCCTCGGAGGCTGTAGTGCCCTTTGCCATGCCGGCCGCGCCTCCCAGACACCATCTCCCAGCCCTGGGACACCAGCCAGCATCTCCCTGCTCCAAAATCCCCAGCCTGGGCTCGCCCCTGCGCCTCATCGGACACATTCCCCTGCTCAGCCCCCAGCCCCTCCGCAGGCAGCAGCGGCCGCAACACCAGAAGCAGGAGCCTCCGCACCGGTAGCAGGGCAGGGACGGGGGATGGCCGCGCTCCGGGCCCTGTGCCTCCACGGGGGCTGCGGAGGAACACCCTGGCTGGGGAGCACGTGGGGGCGGGTGCGTGGTGTAGGCGCAGCTGCCGGCGCAGCGGGGGCTGTGGGGCAGGCTGGGGTGGGTGCTCACAGGGGGATGGAGGTGCTTGGCTGCGGGCAGGGTGGGGAAG